TACCTGGTCACAGACTGGCAGAAATAAACATCTTCCCACTGCCAAAGAAATGCTTGAGCAGCTGAGAACATTATATTTAGAAAATGATGATCAGAAGATTATTTTGTTACTGAGGGAACTGATTCCATCTGGTTTTTTGGAAGATGAGGATATTAACGAGCATTTATTGAGAATGCAGTCTATCTTTGAAAGGCTAAGCACAATTCAAAATCTCACGAATGAAAGACTAAAAATGGCTTTTCTATTAAGCTCATTACCTGACAAATATTACCATTTTGTAGCAGTGCAGAATTTACAAGGGATGAATTTGGTTGGGAGGCCATATAAATTGTTTAAATAAATAAATACTTATGCTAATAGTGTGATATATTATTGTCATCAACCACAAACATAGATTTTCTCCATGAGATCTATTATACACAAGCCAAAATATTATTTACAAAACCAGTCCGTATAGACTTTTCCTCATTTTCCACTTCCTTCTTCCCCTCCTTATCGCAATTACCGATACTGGAATGTCTGAGTTTTTTCCCAGCTACCTTGCTGCCAATCGAAGCCTTTATCTCACAAACTTCCACTGTCCAGCATCTGACTGTCCTTATACAGACTGTCCTTCTGGTCCTTCCATGTTTTCACAAGCCATTTCAGGATTTTTCTCTTCATTCTCCTTCTCATCCCAAGGCCAGAATCTCTGGAATTTGTAGAGAACAATGTGAGGACAACTTTCTGCATGTCTGTAGAAAGTAAAAAAGAAAGATCTTGATGGAGAGAAGAAAGATCCATTATCAAAGCAGCAAAAATGAAAATATTGCTTGAGTCCAAACAATAGGGGAGGATTATGAAAATATTTCAGACAAACACCCCCTTAATTCACATAAATATAAAAGTGGGAGGATGGAAAGCACAATCAGATTTGCAAGATTATGTTACTGTAGCCAAACTAAATAAAAAAAATTGAACAAGTTAAAAGTTTCAAGTATCTGGGTATTACATTTAGTTATAATCTCTCTTGGGTCACCCATTGCAACAAGACAATCCACTTGGCTGTTTGGCTGCTCAGTTCAAACAACTTATTTTACAAGAGGAAAGCAATATGTACCTGCAGTGATTAGAATATTCAACACTAAACCTCTTTCTCAAATTTTATATAGTATGCCCATTTGGCTGGGAGCTCTTAACCGTAAAGTAGAGGGCATCCAAGCAACCTTCTTGAGGCAGCTTTTGGGGGCTCCCAATTGTGTCTTCTATCTCACAATTTGCTTAGAAACTGGTCAACATCTGATGGAAACCAAAGCCTGGTTAATAACAAATACTGGCTTAGGATTTTATTCAGAGCTGCTCCTTGTAGCCTGTTATCACACCTTAATATGGATATATTTTGCACTGGCCTTCGCATATTATGTCTAAACTTAAGCAAATTGGGATAGTGATTGATTTATATTTATTGGATGAAACTTGTGTATTTAGAATTATTAAACAAAGATTTTTAGATTTAGAATATCACAAACTTAGACCTGCTCGACCCCATGTTTGTTCGCCTTCTATACTAGGTATAGAAACTCATTTGGGTAAGATGGTGCATGATTTGTATGATCTTGAGGTTCCATCTCAGCGTAGAGTCTTTTTTTGGGCTAAATTCTTTTCCTTCTGAGGTACTTCTCGGAAGGTACAAATGCATTCCCAACCACGGAAGGCTTTGTTCTTGTGGCACCCTGATACAATTCACCACATAATTTTTGATTGCCACCTAGCTGAGACTCTCCGTTATGGACTGCTTTTAAAACCTTTACAGGGCAAATATCTGTCAAATACTGCATTAGCCTGCCAATATCCATTGAGCGACGCTGTGCCTGAAATTACCAGAATTGTGGCTAAATTCTTGGACGAAGCACTCAGAAGCAAATGTAAACAAATCTCTGAGTATGGCTTTCTCTTTGATTAATCTTATGATACGTCAATGACTGTTTTTGAATTTCTGTTTGCTCTTTTAATGCCAATGAAGGTTTGGATTGACTAAATAAAAGTAATTTTTACTCTTCTGTGGAGTCTATTTCTTGGTCTGGTCTGCCTCATAGGGCTTACATAGTCCAAGTTACAAGAGAAGCAATGGCATGAGATGGTTTGAAAGGTGTGTGGCTCAGTGAGGCAGGTATATTAAATGGGTACAGGACTTTGAGCACTTGGAAGGTCTGTGTCAACATGGTCATTTTGATATCTTTTTTTTCCCCCAAATCAGTAAGTATAGGTTTCAGTTCCTCACGCTTTGTGAGTTTAAGCTGTTGGCTCTTGGCACAGCTGTCAAGTTTATTGCAGCTGGAGCGTATAACCGAATGACTTTTATCTACAGTCCTGGCCATTTGCCACTCTCCCAGTGAGCAGTTTTCAAAGTCATTCATCCTTGAAGACTCTGACCATAGGAGTCTGGTCATTTTAAGTCTGGCTGGTTAAAAGTGAGGAGGACTTTTTTATTTATTTATTTATTTATATTTATTTTATTTATTTAATCGTCTTTCTTAGGCGATTTGCTAAGATTTTACTAAGATTTTCTTAGTAAAAATCGTTCAGACCAATTGATCTACTCTGACGATTCAGAACCGTCTTGCAGCTGCTCCACCTGATAGATTTCTGGCCGGAGGGGCTTTTTCGGTACAGGCGGAGTTCTTCCGGCCTTGAGTTCGCCTGGAGCCGTCTCTTCGCTTCCCCCAGAAAGGCTCCGGGGCCAGGCAAGGCGGTGGTCCTCCTCCTCCGGGCAACCGCTGAGGCCCCACGCGCAGCGGCGGCCCTCGCTTCCCCCCCCCGCCAAGCAGCACTTCGGCGCCGGCCGCCACCCACACCCGCGGGTCTCGCTCCGCCGCGTTCCTTCGCACGGCCGCTTGTCAGCAGCCCGCCCCTCTGCTCCGCCCTCGCCGCAGAGACGCCGCTCGAGACACGCTTCCGATGAAGCTCCGCGGCCCTGAGGCCCCACAGCCGCGAAGACTCGTCCGCCTCGAAGGCATCCTCTCAGCTGGCCGGCAGCCGGTCGGCAGAGCGCCTCGCAGGGCTGCTCTGCAGCTCTCCCGAGTCCCAGCGGAGACTGCCCGCCCCGGTCTCCGAGGCGACCGACGTGGGGGGCGGGGGCGCCCCACCC